AAAAAAAAAAAAAAAAAAAAACAGCTTTCCAATTAATTTGCTCTACCAGTTGTAAGCAGTTTCATAATTTTTGTCAAGTCTAGCTTTCTAATGATTCCTAGCCATTTTAGTAATTACAGAAACTGTGTACCCTGGTAGATTTCAAAGAATAAAAGTCTTAAAACAGGACAAAAATAATGGATAAAAGAGATATCATGAACATTTTTTATAATTGGGTTAAAAAAGAAACTCTTAAGATGTTATATTAGAATTAATAAAATTTTTTAATAAAGTTACAGACCAAACCGCAAAAATTACAGGGCACCCAAGGTGCTGCTGGTAAAAAAACAGTTGCATGATTTGCAAGCAGTAACAGTCTTGAAAACCACTTTAACCTTTCTGCTCTGACAGCACTGTACTAGTATTTTTTGAGGTTTATATAAGAAGATGTCAGTTGTTTTTTGTGACTTTCATGTGCCTCAAAAATAAAACAACTGATTTATCTACAATAGTAGAGCTAATTTTTTTTTCTGTTTTTCGGTTTACTTGACTTTCCTCCATGGAATTATGTATGACACTCTGTTTTCATTTTCTCAGTATCACTTTATTTCTTCTGGATTTACTGATGAGTACAGTAAGAAATTTTTTTGTACAAATAATCAGAATTTAAAGAAGACTAACCCGTGGTCATACTGACGACAACAGGCAGCTTTGAAATCTTGTACGGGAGAAAACTCACAATGAATTGGCCTTCCATCAAACCACCGGTTGTTGAGATCATCAACTGCTTTCCTGGCGTTCGATTCGTCGCAAAACTGCAAAAATGAATCTTTTTGGGCTTTTACCATGTGATCTATCTAATTTCTGTCTTATAAATATTCGAAAGTGAAATTGTGTACATCTGTCTCCATCTTATCGGAGATTCTTCTTTCCCCTATTTCTCCGTGGAGACTGAACTTTGGAAAGCAACCGCCCGTTAACTCAAATACTTTTACTTTTTTCCGTGGATGTAAATGTTGGTCGGATTTATTTTGCAGAGTGGACGTATACGCTGTCCTGCTCTGTTGATGAAACTGAAGTAGTAGTGATGTGAGTGCAAATTATCTTGCCAAAAGAAATATTAGATGAAGCCAAAGTAGAAAAGATGTAGAGAGTAGATCGGAAGAATAGAAATGTCGCTTTCCAGACAACATTTAGAAATATCTTATGCTCTTCCCTGATGCAAAAACTGGTGTCCTAATGAAACTGCTCCCGCTGTACTCTCTTCCCCTCTTTCTTTTCTTCTTCATCTTTCTTAGAGAAATCCCTGTACATTGCAAAGAAGTGAGTGCTCGAGAAATTAGTTTCTTTTTCAGACAGAAAAGACAAATCTGTTATAAATGTTACTTTAAAGAATTGTCCGTTGCGTCCGCAGGTCTTTTAAACAAAATGAGTTTAAGTATTGATTTCGCAGCATACCCCTACTCTGATGACTACAAAGTTCAGAAAATGCCTATGTTGCCTAGTTCCACAGCAGAGGCCAAAGTGCTACTCTTTGGCTACAAATCTGTTATTCTTCAAGAAACAAAAACAGCTTTATTGGTGGAAAATTGCTTTTATTTCAAAGGTTTTTGAAAAAAAAAAAGGCTGATAAAGAGTCATCAAAAGTTGCGGAAAAATTGCTAACTTTAATGTAAACATTGCCGATCATATGCTCTCCAACGTTGTCACTTACTATCATCTCTTCGATTTTACCATATTGTTCGTCTATTTCAGTATACACTTCTACGTAAAAGTCATCAAAATCATGCTGAGCTGTACTTTCTGAAGACCCTAAAATGAGTAGACAGTCACAAAGAGGAGCACAGAGGCAATTTTTGTGTTTTGATTTTTAAGGTCTGAGTAGCTGAAGAAATTAATGTTAGTCCAAGAAGAAACTAAAAAATGTATACCTGGTCTAACAAGGTTGTCAAAGCCACAGTGGAAATTCTTTAAGATTATAGTCTGCAAAAAAATTTATTTAGGTTACGATAATTTGAAGTTTTGCAGCGGCTCGCAAGCGTGAGGTTTCAAGAGGTCTTTTAAATGGGAATTCAGCTGTTGAGTTGAATACAGATTTCAAACTACTTAAAGGATGTGGTTTGCTTAGTTTTTTCAAATAGGTCTTTATGGACTGAAATTAGCATTTGAAATGCATCAAAAAACAGCTGTTAGACAGCATTTTTTTTTTAGATTCATAAATTATTTAACTTTAAATCTTCTTCATACTTTGCTGCTTTCTGGAACAATATGCGAGCGTGAACACTTTGTGCCGTGCCTGCAGGCCCCAATTTTTTTGTAGAAAGGACAGCCAGGCCTAAAAATTTGGTCAC